ACTTCTACTGCACCCCTTTTTTCTTTCCAACAACTTTTTCTCAATACCATATCCAGAAGACAATGCTCCACAGCACTCTTCCCCATTTTGTCCTCTCTTCTCCAATGTTCCCCAAGCCTTGAGGGAGTGATACCGATGTCCTGTTTAAGGAGAACTCTCAACAGTCACTCATTCTCAGCACTTTGATCAATTACAAGTCTACATAATAACCACTGCAAAATGCAGAAAAGGTTCTCTGACTAAGGTTGAGAGTAGCACTAATCTTTAGGTATAACTGTAAATATTTAGAAAGCAGACTGGCAAAATATCCATTTAGCAAAATAACATTAGTAGTTACCTTCTCTAGGGCCTAGGATCCACCCACCCACCCCCAAAACCATGGTCTCTTGGCCAGATTTACAGTACCAGACATGAATTACTATGGAATCAGCCTCAAATTCAAGCTGAAAGTAAGTGGTAACTCCCCTAACACTTGCATCACTAATGCACCAGTAGGCACATCTTGCCTGACAGGTCAGTATTGTAGCATACAGGGCCCACTGCTAGGCATGGCCATTAATGAATTTTCTCCTCCAACAGCCTGTATAGCATCTTCTGGCATCATCAAAGCTAGCTATCAGGGAGGAAAATCCAGTTCATTTACTACTTGTTTGATTTATAAGCTATGACCAAAGCATGTAGTGTGTTCCGCAACAGTCATGTCATCTATTTCTGTTACACAACCAAGAGCAATGGCAAATAACATGAATGGGGGTGGGGGTGAAGAGACTACCCTGGAGTATCCCTGACCAAAAGTGCACAGGGAAATATCTCACCTGGCACTGATATTTTCATATATATAGCCTGATATATTATCTTCATATCATAATAACCTGTGACTTCTTGGAGTCACATTGTTCACCTACTCAGAGTACCTCCATTCAAACTCCTCCTTATCATCATGTAGTTTAATTATCTTACAGACAAGTAGATGTCCATATGACTCTTTCATCCATCCCTAGTCTTGACTAATCATCTCCACTCCTCTACATCCTTTTCTTCTCCATCTTCTGTAGATAGATTTTTCCTTGGGCTACCAGCTCACAAAATATGACATGGGAACTTATTATTAATTATGAAAGCTTAACATTATCTTAGGCTTGTCCTATTTGCTTTTATAACCTAAATTAACCTATATCTTTTAATTTGTGCTCTTTAAAGTGACTTGGTTACCTTTTCTCTGTATCACCCATTCAGCTTCCTCCACATCTGGCTAGCAACTCTTCCTTTCTTCTTCCCAGAGCTCTCTCTGTCTCCAGAAGTACCACCTAACATCTTCCTGCCTAGCTAGTGACCATTCAGCTCTTTATTTAACCAATCACAGTAACACATCTTCATACTGTGTAAAGGAATATTCCACAACAATCTTCCATCTGTCATTCCCCACTTCAACTTTTCCACCCTCAGTGTTCCTCCTCTCTATTTCTCTAACACATCTGAAGCACACATTTTTAACAAAGATGATAGAAGAGACAGAGGTCCTAAACTTGGTGCAGAGATGAGCTAGTGTGTTATCTAGGGTGAAGTTGAAAAGGAACAGTAGACATATACAAGTAGGCTTTGAGAATAATGGCAGAGAAAGTCCTTCCAATGGATCAAGCTCTAGATAGAGTGGTCAGTTATCCATTTATCATGAAACAAAAGATAGCCTGCTAAGAGCTAGAGAGATGGCTCTGCAGTTAAGAATACTCAACTGATTTGAAGAGGACTGGGTTAAGTTCTAGACTATTCCACCAGGTGGCTCACAACTGACGGTAACTCCCATTCCGGAGGATCCGGTGTCCTTCTCTGACCACTGCTTCATATTAAGAAATGTACGGGAGCCTATATGCATAGAGTGGGAAACGAGGCAGAGGCATGCAGGTGTATAGGGAGTAGGCTAAATGTGTGCAGGCCAGTGCCAACAGCATAGAACCCATAGAGAAAGACGCAATGAGTCCCCCAAGGGACTTGGCTATATGACATCAGCCATCTTAAGATACTAACAACTTGGCGTTGGCACGGAGGATAGCGCCCTCTGTTGGTGTCTGTGTATGGTCCTAGCAAACGGCTCAGCTAAGGTAAACTGAGTGAGTTACTGTTTTGTTGCTGTTTGTCCGTCAGTTTGTGAGTACTGAGAATGGAACAGGGCCTTGTGCGTGTTAGGCGATTGCTTGAACACCTATTGACAGTCCAGTCCTATAGTGCTTACTTTGCTATCAAATGTCTGCCCTCAACAGCACTGAACATCGAGTCGACAATACTGCTCCGTTCCTCCATGAAGCCATCAGCTTCTTCAATAGCAGATCAACGACTTAGAGCCCCTTCCATCTTGCCAGGACGATGGTTCATTACCACAGGGCAAAATCGGCACTCTTTACCAAATTCTCCCAACCAATATGCACATCGCTCTCACTTCCCAGATTCAAGTCCCTCTTGAAAGAGGGCAGTAGGCGCTGAGGACTGTTTCTCACAGGAATCCACACCTAAAAATTCTGGTGTGAACCACAGAGGAAGGTCTCAAGCAACTTGCTTCCACTCCTGAATGGCCCTCCTAGGATCCTTTGCTCCACCTCTGTCTCCTAACTGCCTTTAGGCGTGTGCATTTCAGGGTTGGACACTGCTGGATCACAGGCTCTACTATCAGCCTGTGATAAATGATGGTTGTGGTTGTAAAAATCTGCCAAATGCCATTATAAAATGATTACTTGCATTATCCAAACAGCTTTCTTCGTTGTTATTTGGAGCAGTGACAAGTCTCATAGTTCAACCTCTCTTACGAATTTGAGTGAGTGATCAGGGCATGTAGTGATGGGGTTGGTTTTTTCCAGTCATTGATACGCTGGCAAGAAGGGAAAGGGTATCTTTCCAGCAGATAACAAGGGAGGGGAAAGCACTTCAAAGAACCAAGTATCAGAGGTAGAAAAACTGCAGTGGCGTAGCAGGAATAGAAGTCTTGACTGGTAAGGAAAAGTGCTGCCCAAAGCGCCTCCACTCATTGCTCTCCACTATGGGTTTCAGAGTTGAGGTCACTGTTTGCTGTTTTTAGTTTTGTGGACGTGTTCAGCAAACACAACCATTTACCGAACCTAGGACTGGGAGCTTTCGGGGATGCAGGCGCAGGTAGAAAGAGGCCACAAGATTATCTAGCCTTATTCTGAACTCAGGGGACCATAGTATATGACATGGCTAAAGCCAATGTGAAAGAGCCAGCCCAGACTTTGTTCTGGGCAAGGAAATCCAGTTACACCCTCATTCAGGTAGGAGCCAGTACAGTAGGAGCCAGTACAAAGTTTTCTCTCCATAAAATGTCGGAGCCAGAACATCTTGGCTCTGGGGGTGTGCTTTGAGAAGTAGCCCAGGGTTATGCAACTATATGTGTCTGCAGAGGCCTCAAAGTCTTCAAACCGTTGCTAAGTTAATTACATTCTGAAGGCACACGTTAATATGCACTATTTATAAGGTGAAAGTGTGATGCTGACTTTAAAATGTGAATTTAAATCACTATCATCCTGAAACCGCTTTAATTTTTAGTCTTTAAAATACCAAAATGAGAGGAAGGAAGGGGAGGAAGGGAGGGGGAAGGAAGGAATCAAGGGAGAATTTCATGGATAGATGAAAACTTGCAAGGGATTTTTGCTTTAGCATTTGGTTAGTGTAAGACACCTGCTTCCTCTTGCTGTGACCCAAGGAAAGGATATCATCACTGGCTCATGTTTCCTGGGAATTTATTGCAACTTTTTTGCCTTTATTCTACATACTACCTTTCTGATTAAAGCAAGAGCTGCTGCTTCTTGATTAACATAAGAAAACTGGGTTTCCTAAACGTTAGGGAAACAAGGTTTAAAGAGAATAAATAATCTGGCCCATATTATTTTCTTAATACTTAATTCTTAAAAACTTGAAGGGATGGGAAGCCCGGCTTCAAAGCCTATGTGATTCAACACAGCATGATATTGTGTCCTAAGGAGCAGAGAGGGGAATACCAGGTCTTAACTACCTCTCTATGACCTGCATGAGAGGGATTAGTTCGGGGAATGAGCCTCCGAGGGCAGTGTCTTGTACAGTTCCTCACTACTCAAGGTACCACTTCTAAGAGAATACTTCTCACGATGCAGGTGCATTCTAAATTATCTAAGAGGCTATCGTGGGGCAGGGGGCGGTGTGTGAAGACCAGGAACTCTGGAATGGAACCAAGTGGGGGTTGTAAAGACAAGGAACTCTGGAATGGGAACCAAGTGGGAACTTATGGTGGCCAAGTACTGACGTAGCAATAGATATGATTGTCACAGTCACCAGAATACATGTACACACACTCGTGTGTGCACACACACAAGGGAGAGGGAGGAAGGGAAGGAGAGAGAGAGAAAGAGAGAGAGAATGAGAGAGTCCTAGCCATACTCCAAGAATCCCACTTCTACTTCAACATCTTCATGCCTGTGCAAGCACTGGATAATATCCACAGCTGCCCATGGTTGCTCATGTTGTGTAGCAAAGCATCAACTGAATTCATTCTAAGGAAGAAGGGCCTTTTGCTTTGACCCAAGGGTGCCATTATCTATGAGGGGTGCTGGAAATGGCCCTCATAGGCTACAGCATCCTTCCTCCTTTGGCCACCTTTGTTTTGAGTGCTTCGGTTGTATCAGTTCAAGACCAAGAGATAGAGTAGGAACGAAAAGAGCCTCTATAGACGATTTCCCAAGGGGAATTCCTGTGGTGTTTTCAAGCGCATCATCTGCTTAGGCCAGACTTGTCCATGCTCCCTTTCTCTGAAGACCATCTCACTAAGTTTATTGTCCTTTGTTCAGGACGCAAGTTGGTGAGCACCAGAGCATGAAGCAAACCCCTCAAATGCCTTCTTCACAGGAGTGCAGGTCAGCAGTGGGGCAGCAGCTGATGGCCAGTTTTCGGGAAATTCCTCTCCTAAACCCTGAAATCCCCTTCTCTCCTGCTCAGGTCATTGCATCACTGGTTCTGGAGGTTCCCAGGAAGGCTTCTGAGTTGGGCCCCCGATAAGTCTGGACCTCCAACAGGGTATAAGAGAAGAGAAGGTAGGGACCGACATACTTCCCTGAGGCTATGGTCACCAGCCCTGGAAAAGATTCCAAAGGAACAAGTGGCAGTGAAGACAAGAGGCCAGAACTGACTTTCTCTCGGGAGTAAAATCAAGAGAAGGGACTCTGATACAAACGGCATTAGGTGAGTGGCAGGGCTTCCCCCTCAGCCCCAGTCTTCCAGTTCCAGCTCCTGTTACCTTCCCTATGCCATCCTGACTGCTTGGTCTCCACATTTAGAGAAAGCAGCCGGCCAACACCGAAACACCAGCGTCTCCTTGGATAAAAGAAAAAGTCCAACTTGATTTTGCTCTGGGCCAAGATGGATCAAGATTCCCCTGCTAAGCCCAGAGAACACAAGGTAACATGACTTTTTCTTGGCCGTCTGATTCTTACCCTAAGAGCAGGAAACAGTCTGCAGCAGCCACTGTGAATTCTGCTCTCAGGTCTCGCCTCAGAGCAGACGGGCTCTCTCCAGAGGCCGGAGAAGACGCAGGAGTTCAGGCCCCAGCATTTCTCCTTTGTACCCTCTTCTTAGCCCCAGCCAAGTACTCTGCGTCTGAAACCCTGGGAAGGACAGAGCCAGCACATGTTAGATGCAGAGCACATAGCTGCCGAGGCAAGGCTCTTCCTTTGCAGTGGAGGAGAAAAGGCATCAGGGTCCACTTAGCAGCCTCCAGCAAAGCCAAGCCTGGTGACACTGTGCTCTCCCCTCTGCACATGCCCGATCATCCCACAGAATGGGGATGAAGGTAGAAGAAAAGAGGCGTTCAGAGGGGCTAAGGGAGGGCAGGGAAGTCACAAACTGGCCTGTAATGAAAATGGGGGTGGCTGTGTTTCCAGCAGGACTCAGGGGGCACAGGACTCTAAACTCTAAATGTGGTGCAGTGGGTCTCCCAGCCTCCTCCAGAAAGGATTCCTGAAGGTCATTGCCAGGGAAGGTGACTGGACACATTCCATTGAATGATACCCTTTCAGCCCCCAATCAAGACTGATAAGTAGCTAGGAACATTTTATTTTATCACGTACTGTGCTTCCTCATTGCCCCGCGGAGGTAGCTTTGCCCATGAAGCTGTCACACCACTGAGCTTCAGAAGAACTGGGCGGCGTGGTGATACCGGCCTTTATGTGAACTGTATTAGGACTTGGCACTTTGGAAACGGTAGCCTGGGGCAGTCAGAGTATCAGGCCTGGAAGGAACCTGGATGTGGTGAATATTAATCAAACTAGGAACTAGGGGCAGCCACACCCTGGGAAAACCTGGAGAGGATGGGGTAAGGCAGGGAAGGGCAGGAACTGCCCTTGAGAGTGCCCAAGGGAGGGGACTTGCTAAATGGTGGGGTGGAGAGAGCTGGAAATTCAGGACTTTTCAAACTAGCTGCTCTGGGTCCCTAGTCATTAGGGCAGTCGAAGGCTCTAGAAGACATGACTGAGTAGAGCCAAATAAGGTGACAAGTAGCTGCTAGGAGCCTAGTCTACTAGGCTTTGTCTTTTCCCTTCCTCCTCTCTCTTCCCTTCTCCATTTCTCTCCTATTCCCCCTTTACTCTCTCTTTCTCCCGTTTTCTCTTTCCACTCCCGTTCCTTTTTCTCCTCCTTTGATCCAACCCCATACAACTGGGTATAGTTGGGAGTCAAGAGGGTGCCTTGCCTGTGTGCCATACCACTGACTTAAAGTTGATGCGCTGATCATTCTTAAGAGTGGCAAAATACACGTTCACATGGAAAGAAAAAACAATGACACCTGAGGGTCCAGAGAACTGCAATCAAACACCGATGAAAATCCCCAGGGAACACAGGCGATGGGGATGAGGTACAACCTCAGTCTTTTAATCACTGAGAAGTGACCCCATTGGGGTTCCCTGATGAGTACTGGGCTCCTGCTCCCAGTAGCTGCTCATGGGGCTCACACTATGCTGTCTAGTTTTGAAGCCTAAAAGTGACACAAGGCTCTGCTCCCAGCGAGTTTCCAAAGCCAGCAAAAGGATGCAAAACCGAAGGTCAGATGGAGATAAGAGGGGTCCAAGCGAGTTTTCTAGAGACTATGAGGAGAAGCAGAATGGTACCCTAGTGCCTGCAGTGGAAGGTTTAGTTTTAACTCAACTGTACTTGTACAGGGAAGCACAAGGCTCCCCACCCCATGAAGAAATAACTCCTCTCTGCAAGAAGAAAGAATGGGAGAGAAAGAGGAGGGATGCCTGCATCCCTGGAATGCGGTACCCCATACATAGTATCCCTCCATGACTTAGAAAGGAGTCAAGTCCCTGAGAACGCCCTTTCCAACCATCACTGATTCCACCAGTGCTCCAGGGTTGAATGAGTTCTTTCCGCTCTGCACTGCTCTGCAGAGTCCCACTTCCCAGCACAGGCAGCTCTCTGACTCTGCCCTTCAGGTAGACCCACACAACTACTGGAGCAAACTGAGATTCCACAGCGAGAGTGCCCAGCCCTGGACACCCCACCACCACCACCGCCACTCACTCTAGCTTCTCATACATCTCCCTTGGGCCTCTTGTCTTGGGTTGCAGGTCTCCAGCCAAAGAACAAGGTGGAAAATACTCCTGCTCATCCTCTGCCTGCTCCATGGTGAGTCTACGAACCCAGACCAGCGTCAGGCTTCAGAGGCTGCTGGGGACCTGGTAGTGGAATTCAGCCCAGCCAGGCAGATGGGTGTCTTCTCCTCTGGGATTCAATACTGGATTGCTGTGGCTATGGGCACCAGGGAATGACGGATGTGAGAGACCACCAGAGGTTGCATATACCTGGTTCAATCAACGACATCTAAAATAGCCATGTTTAGACAACCACACCAACACACACACACACATACACACACACACACACACACACACTACCTAGCCCCCCCACCTCCGTCCCTCTACCCCCATCCACACCTGCTCTCTTCCATTTAAATGGATGACTTGAAAATTAACTGTTTGTTTACAAGGTGTGCCAAGGTCCGAAGGCATGCAAAACACAAACATTACAGCCTTCGCTTCTGTTCGTTTTACAGACACTTCCGTGCCAGACCCAGCATTAGCGATATAAAAACGGAGTGCTTATGCTACACACATAAAGAAATCAGTATGCAAAGTCATTGCATGATAAGCAGTTCAAATGCATTTAGCCACTTACTTAAGGCGTGTTTATGAAGGGCTTCGTGTGTGCCAGGAGTGGAGGACAATGAGATGAGAGGTAGAATCCAGTCCTAACAGTGTTGGCAGCCTGCTGTGCCGAGGCAGGCCAGGAATAGACCAGGCAAAGGGGTGAATGAGCTTTTCTTTCCCCATGCTGTGGTGTGTAAATTTTATTATGATGGTAATGGTGAGAGTCACTGAAGCATGTAGAGTGTGTGTGTGTGTGTGTGTGTGTGTGTGTGTGTGTATTACTTAGACTCTAGTCCAGGGAAGTGTTTTACAAATCATTTCTGAATTCATTAATGAGTGAAAACATTACCATAACACTAAAAATGGTTTAACCATGAGTGGCTAATCAACAGATCAGAGTGAACTAACAGTCAGTGCTGTCCAGTGTGTGATGTAAAACTCTTAATCTCTCACTGTCCCTCAGGAAGGCATGGGACCTCTCTGTTCACATAGAGGTAACAGTCCTATTTATGTCTCGTGTACTCTAAACTCAATTCTTCGAAGTATTCCGTTAACTATTTGGGTCAGTACTTTAAAAATCACCCAGGGACATGTCCCTGCATCCCCATAGGGAATGTGTAGTCTCTGGTTGCCCCCACTTTGGCACTTAACATCCAGCAGCATGAGAGCCAGCAGGGGCAGTGTGATGCTCTTAGTCCATGGGATGCGGGGCAGGAATTAGAGCAGACTCCACATTTATTTCCTGAGAAATAGGCATTTGGTGGCCTCTGATGGCTTGGCTTCTCCCTTTGCCCAGGTTCATCCATGACCCCTCCACACAGACGACCCCATTCTGGAGAGCTACGGGCTGGCTCTCCCCCTTCCAGGACTCCTCTCTGCACTATGGAAGCACACAGGGCTTCAACACCCTCTTGCTGCTGGAAAAACTCCCTTACAGGTACAGACCCTCCTCTCCCTCAGGCTGGCCAAAGATCGCCTTTGTCAAGCCAAGTCCTGGTTCTGTGTAAGTTCTGTCTCCACTGCAAGCGTCATCCCCACCCCTACCCCCACGGGAAGTCATAGCAACACTCTATTGTTCCATAATGATAGAGATGAGTGAGACCCCGGGTCCCCCACATCCACCAGAAAGCAGAGAGTTAGCAACAGGGTCTCCAGGTACCTCGATCCCAAATGTCAGCCCATTCTTTAATTCTCACAATTGACTAGTACGGAATTCAAATCCTTTAATTGTTATGGAGGCCAAGAACTCCTGGTTAGTCACTCACCACTTGAGTACGTGAGGTATTGGTTCTTAATTCCGGTAATAATGAAAAGTTATGTGTACAAGAGTCAATCAAAGATTCTCAATCAGCAGAGCTAGACTGCCTCACCCCCCAACTAATGGTACAGTGCTCCTTTTAAATGTGCCAACTCTAGAACACAAGAGCCCCTAGAATCTAGGGTGTGAACATTGCAATAATAATAATTTTAGTAATTTTAATGCTGAATAATATTCTTGCTTTTTAAGTATAAAATGTAATATCAGTAACCTTGATCGTGAGTGGTGTGGTTTGGAGCATGTTGTTAAGTTAAGCCTTCAGTGGTATTGCTACAACCAAAGCAGTCAAGATTGCTACTCTCCTGTAATTAGACCTTAGGTCACACATAAGAGACAAGCCACTTACAAATCCATCTGTACTCAGAAGGTGGCTGACTTTATGCTCTGCTATTGCTATCGTAAAATCTTTTGTTGCTATTGCTGGTTTGTCTTTGTCTTCTTAGTCTATTTTTTGTTTTATTTGTATCAGTATATATTAATTATATATAACAATGCAATTCATTATGTTTCATATACGTCTATGTCTTTTGATCATCTCCACCCTACCACCCTCTCTGGCCCCTCTTCCATTTTAGCAGATTCCCTTCCTCTTCCTAACTAGTCACCTTTAACTTTCATGTCGTGTGTGTGTGTGTGTGTGTGTGCGTGTGTGTGTGTCCATCCCAATTACTTTAATTAGGGTGGTTTGCAGGAACATGAAGGCTTGTTTACAGGAATACAGTCAGTTTACTGCTGTTTACACTACCAACCATTAACTACCAATAGATCCTCAGAGAAGGGTACCTCATTAGGCCCTCCCCTAGCAGGCATTAACTACCTATAAGTCCTCACTGAGAAGTGGGGCCTCCTGAGCCCCTCTCATCTCTGTATTAGAATATTGGCAGACCGAATCTGGTGCCAGTCTTGTAATCACAGTGACTAGGAGGAATTCATGTGTCTGTGTTCATCAGGAAGACTGGCTTAGGGTTTTCCTTTTTGTTGGGTCTCCCGCTGGTTTTGATATCTGACAACACTGGTTTAGCAGAGAGTTTAGTGGTGCTCCTTGTTTTCCTATATCACACAATGGTTTGGGAAGCATGGGTGTTACTTCACTGAAGGTCTGGGAGAATCCGCCTGTGAATCTACTGGGGCCAGGAAATTGTTTCTTCCTCCTTCAATGTCACTGCCTTTTTCAGACACATTAGATTGTTTATCTTTTTTGGTTTAATTTAATACACAACTGGATATATTTATTTCTTTTGGATTCCAGTTTAGTGGGACATATTTTTAAGCTGTGTACTAATACATCTCATTAGTGTTTTTTGTTAACACATTCCTTTCATCTTTAACTTCACTAATTTGGTCTCCTCTTGTTTTTCATTAATTTGACTAGGAGTTAGTCAATCTTATTTATCTTATCAAAAACGAACTCTCTGTTTATGACATTCTTATTACTATAGCAAAAATTTATTATAATGAAAATTTTTCTTTATTTCTATTGTACTAATTTATGCCATAATTTTAATTATTTCTTCCCATCTACTGATTTGAGGTTTAGCTTGGTTTTTTTTTCCCCAAAAACCTAAGGCATATCTTCAAGACATTTGAAATACCCACATATAGAAATTTTCCTCTTGGGACTGTTTTCGTTGTATCCCATAGGTTTTGCTATGTTGTGTCTTCGTTTGAATTCTGAGATTTTTTGTTTTTCAAGACAAAATTTCTCTGTGTATCTCTGGCTGTTCTGGAACTCACTCTGTAGACCAGGCTGGCCTCAAACTCACTGAGATCCGCCTGCCTCTGCCTCTCTGAATTGTTGGGATTAAGGGCGTGCGTCACCACCGCCTGGAGTGTTCTGCAGTTTCTTTAGTTATTATTGAATATTAATTTTATTTTTTTGTATTCATTTAGAATACAATGTATTTTTTTCAATTTTCCTACATTTATTAAGATTTGCTTTGTGTCCTAACATATGACCCATTGGGCTGCTGAAAAGAATGTGTTTTATGCCAGATTTGGTCAGAATGTTCTGTAGCTCTCTGCCGAATCCGCTGGTCCATTTGATCAATGATGTCATCTTTCTCAGATGTTTCTCTGTTTGTTTGTGTTAACATGACTGTCTATCGAGTGGGATGGTGATGTCACCCAGTCTTACTGTGTTAGGGTTAATCTATGTCATTATACTTAGCGTATTTGGATGTCCTCGTGTTCTGTCTGTGTTTGGAATTGAAATACCCTCTTGAGAACTGCTCCCTCAATCATCAGGAAATGTGTCTATTTGGATGGTATTAGAAAAATGACACTTGCTTATTTCCAAGATCAATTTGCTTAGAACACCTTTTCCCATGGTGTTGCCCCAAAGTAGTATTAATCATCTTTTATGAGAAATTGAAACGTGTGCTCTAACTCCTGTCGAATTTTGTTCTGTTTGGGGTTTTCTTATTCCTGCCTTGCTTAGCTATTAATATTTAAGACTGATTTATCCGTTACTGTGACCCCATGGGTGCATTTGGCTTTCTCCTCATTCTGAAGGATTTCTTGGAGTAGCTTCCATTAAGCTGAGCTGGTAGTTATACATTCCTTTAGCACATTTTAATTGTGGAAATTTTTTCTTCCTCCTTCAATGGCAGATGACTTTGATGGGGATCACAGCCTGTGCTTAGCGACTGTTACCTTTCAAGGCTTAAACTAGATTATTACGAGCTCTCCTGGCTTTCTGAGTTCCTATGGAGAAATCTTCTGTTACTCTGATGGGCCTGAATTTATATGGGCCTGGATGTTATTGGGTGTTTTCTATGTGTGTCCCTTGTTCTCTATATTTAGCAGTTTAATTATACTCTGATAAGAGGCGTTCTCTTCTGGTCATCTGTTTGGTGTTCTAAGGATCTCCTGTATCTGAATTGGCATCCCTTTCAAAATTTCTTGAAAATGTAAAGGTTCCCAGGGACCTTAGCCAACTTCTTTTGCCCAGTTAATAAGCCAGTTAATAAGCCAGTTCTTATTCACTCAGCTGTTGCTAGCCAGGGGGATGTGAGGAAATCACATCTCTGGTGATTTCCACGGCCTCTGCCCAGGTAGCTCGGTTCATCGAGGGGCTGATTTCCAGATGTGTCTGTTGGCATCCTCACGAGCTGGGTAGTGTTGTTTTTGAGGCAGGCCTCCCTCTGTAGCTTAGGCTGGCACTAAATTCAAAGCTTTGCCTGTCCCTGTTTCTTGATGAGATTGCAGCATGTGCTGTCATACGCAACCTCATCTTGAACCGCAATAATTCGGACAAGGAGTCTCGCATTTTTCCCTTGTAGCAGGATCCACGAATTCATTAACTGTTCCCAGTAGGGGAATACTGATCAGAAGTTTCTTGGGGTCAGAAGCCCTAAACACATATAACAAACTACCAGGTACTCATGTCCCAAGTCGAAATGTTTGGTGGCCTTTCTGTAGTAAGAAATTATGAAGCTGATTTCAAGAATAGCCCAGCCGGCAGCCTTCCTGGCTCCTAAGGGAGGGTAAGAACCCTAGGAAGGCTGAGGAGCCCCATGTAAGAACTGCTTTGGACAGAGATGGGCCACTTCCTCTTGCTCTAATCCGAGGGAAAGAATGTCTAGAGAGAGACCAAATAAATTTGTCATGATACTTCAGGTTTTTTTCTGACAGAAGGACAAAGTGTGCTTCCTTTGACCCAGTTTAGGGTCCTCAGAAAGGAGAACCAGTCACAGGGGTTTGTGACCACAAAAGAGGCACAAATAGCCAGAAGCCACAGGGCTATTATTGGCATCCATAGAAGGCCAGCAAAATGAGAAGCCATTCTTGCAAGGAGAAAACAAAAGGCAGGAGCCACTAAAGAGATACCTGGGCAGCAAATGAAACAGAGACTACTTTGGACACCAGCCAGGTACAGAAATGCTGTCTTATGCAACACGACTCCCTTCTCTCTGCTCGTCCTGGAAGGTCCCCAGGTCTCAGCACTGAGTAGCCGAAGAAAACAAAGCAAGAGATCCAACCTATCCATGTCTTCCCTGGCAGTCCCTGAGCCTAGCGGGAACAAAGAAAAAACCTTCAGCTAGATGAGACACTTGAGTTTCTGTCTGCTTTCACATTGGTCTGGATGTAGAATTTTAGGCTAGACTAGACTCTGTGTGCCAGAAGAGGCAGCGAATCTACTGTACACAGATCATGCTGGGTATCTCATGAAGGAGCAGAGAGAGATAGTCCAGAGATGGTGGGGAAAGTCAGTGAAAGAAAAAACCTTGTTCCTGCTTACACCTTATCAAATTAAAGGCTTCCTACATGCTGGCTTATATATACCCAGCTCAGCTAATATTGCTAAAGCAGGTGTATTCATGATACTTCTTGCCTGTGCTCTTGTAGCAACTGTGTGCCATGTATGCATATGTTTGGTTCTGTAGAGAAGTGGCTCATAGGGGAAAACGCCAGCCACTGATCTGGAGGACGTACCAGCCCAGCAGAGCAGAATAGCCTTCTCTTCAGAGGAAAGCACACTGACACGTCCACACTAGTAACACTTCTCTTTAACTGGCTCTGCAAACCAGAGCCCTCTGCCTGGCCTTGCCTTCTCCTCACAAGCTTGTAGATGGAGTTTAGTGGCTGGAATGCAGGCTCCGGACAGATTTGCATGAGAACACCCACCACACATGTGCTAGCTAAACGCTGGGTAAGAGGCTTTCAGATGAAGCCTTGAGTCGGGCTCCCTTCCGTACTTTGGGCAAGGTCTGCTTCCTCAGTGGCTGAGCTCTTCCCTTGTACGCGCCACCTTCACAGCTGCTGTTTTCTGATGACCAGGGTTCACAGCAACTTCCCTTACAGTGGAAATGCTCACTATCCCTTCCTTTGGCAATTTCTCTGCCTGCAGGTGCAAATGCATTGAAAGGCCCAAGGCTGGTATCTGGGGAGCCGGGAGGAGCTGTCACCATCCATTGCCATTATGCCCCCTCCTCAGTCAACAGGCATCAAAGAAAATACTGGTGCCGCCTGGCGCCTCCATCGTGGACCTGCTATACCGTCGTGTCCACCAACCACTACACCCACCGTGACTACAGAGGGCGCGTGGCTCTCACTGACTTTCCACAGAGTGCTCTGTTCACGGTGAAGCTGTTCCGACTGTCCCGTAATGACACGGGACTTTACCGCTGTGGTATCGGGGACCGAAACGACAAGCTATTCTTCAGGATGAATCTGACTGTGTCTCCAGGTAAGAGCCGATTGACGGCTGACGGGCCAGTTTCTATAAAGCTGAAGTTGAGAAGAAATGGGCACAAGGGAAGGCTCCGAAGCCCGAGGATGTCTCAAGCCTTTCACAGTAGAAAGGGGAGTGGGAGAAAGGCTCTGAGAGGTGTGCTTTCGGCTTAGATAGCCGTCATCTTTGAGAAGGCAAATACTCGGGAAGAGTGCCCAATGGAGGGCATACAAGGTCGTCCTCCTTGTTCTTTCTATCCTGAATGCTGCAGAAGGAATGTTTGAACTAAGTTTCAAAACCACTGTGAGGTAGAAAATGGGACTTCTCTGATTCCAGAAAACTTGGTGTTCAGACGTGCAGAGAAGAGGTAGCGCTGGCGCAGCCTACACAGCAGGACAGAAGGTTTGGGGCTAGGTTTTCCTACAGGAGCGCCTTGCTGAGTCCCTCCGCAGACATCTGACAGCTCCAAGGCTCTATTCCAGAGGCTGGTTTCAGATTCAGGCATAGAGGTCTAAAGCAGGGTGTGTGTGTGTGTGTGTGTGTATGCGTGCGCACGCACGCGTGCTTGCGTGCATGTATGTATATGTGTATGTGTGTGTCTACGTGTACACATGCACACACTCCAAAAAGATTGTTCTGCAGAACACCTAGTCAGAAGTGAGTGTATAAATTCCCTTAAACGCTGGAGTCTACCTGTATGCTGTAATTGAAGGCTTACTTACTCCCTTGTTGAATAGTAGCACAGGCTCCAAAGTATCTGGATAGGGAATATGTAGGCCTGAGGGACGAAAGTAGGAATGTAAAATGTGAATATCTGCAAAACCATAGGAGCACACTGAAATTCTCACCTTCTAATTTTATCTGACTTATTGCAGAAGATTGCATCTCTTAATGAGCTGCATCCTACTTAATAAGTATTTTGATCAAATGTCCTTTGCTGAATCTAGTATGTGGCCTAGATGACATTCCCTCATGGCCTCTCTCTGGGTGTGTCCACACAGGTCCTTTCAACACCACCTATGCAGCAGTTCCAACTTCTGGTGAGCTCATCACAGCATCTTCTGGGAAAGGATCTACAGCAGCCAACAGATGGACCTCAGGAGTCACCCAGATTCTAGAAGGCCAAGGCTCAGAATTGGACAGAACAGCCCCAACTACAGCCAACAGATGGACCCCAGGGGTCACCCGGAATCTAGAAGGCCAGAAATCAAAATGGGTCTCAACAGCCCCAACTACAGCCAACAGTAAAATCCCAGGGGTCACCCAGATTCTAGGAAGCCAGAAATCAGAATGGGTCACAACAGCCCCAACTACAGCCAACAGAAGGACCCCAGAGGTCACTCAGATTCTAGAAAGCCAAGGCTCAGAACTAGACAGAACAACCCCAACTACAGCCAACAGAAAAATCCCAGGGGTCACTCAGATTCTAGAAAGCCAAGGCTCAGAACTGGACAGAACAGCCCCAACTACAGCCAACAGATGGACCCCAGAAGTCACCCAGATTCTAGAAGGCCAAGGCTCAGAACTGGACAGAACAGCCCCAACTACAGTCAACAGACAGACCCCAGGGGTCACCCAGATTCTAGAAAGCCAAGGCTCAACATGGGACAGAATAGCTCCAACTACAAGAATAAGCAAAACTACGGTTTCAGCCCATGGAAGATCAACCCCAAGAATAGCCAGGACAACAGCGCCAGGGAGAAGCAGCAGAGAGAAAGGCTCTACCGATGCAACGATCCCCACTCCAGAGAGTCCAGCTTCAAAATCAAGGAACATGTTCAGTACAACACAGGATGCTTGGATATTGGGTGCTAGAAACTCAGTAACAACTAGCGCCAGCACCAGCGAGGGTGGGAGGACAGGTACAGTTCCAGAGACTGAAGGACCTCAGGGGGAAACAGAGGTCAGCACACCTCCAGGAGCACCCGGAAAGACGACAGGAACCACCAGGCCATCAGTCCTGATCTCAGAGCCTGTGACTTGGGAAACTCTCCAAGAAGCAACAGAGGACAATTTGTCTAAGCGACGATTGTTGTACTCTGCAGAAGAGCCATCCCCAGCTCCAAGTGCATGGACGTTGAATGCTACACACATGCAAGTGGCATCTGGAAGCGTTGGTCGGAGCCTAGAAAACGCTGGTGGAGAAAGTAGCCCCCCAACACCAAGCCAACTTTCATCCGGGGGCCTGATGTGGACCCCTGGCAAGGGGTCATCAATGAAGAGGTAAGCCTTGGGCCCCTGTCGGCCTTGCTTCCTGGCCAGCCCTTCCTCCTGTGGACCTCTTTCCCCTTGTATTTACAGATCAGTAAAGGGTGGAGCAGGGTATGTAAGCATCAGCTACCACCCTCCACACTTCAGGGCCCTTGCGGTGATAAGGCTGTCTGGATGCTTTCTGGTGGTTTGCGAGTAAAAATATCAATGATGTGATGAAATAATTTTTAGGCTGAAACCCTTGGAACTCTCTATTTAATGTGAGGACCAGAACTCCAGGAAAGGAAAACAACTTGCTGAAGACCCAAGGCAAACTTGTGACAGAGCCAAATGCCAAGGTCAATCTTGCCAAGGCTGACTCTCACTCAGCCTCTTTCTCAATACAGCACATTGTGGCCCATGCATGGCCCATGCACAGGAGGGTGGAGTGACGCAAAGGATTGGGGCTTGAGGAGCTGAACAGAGCAGCCCTACTGGGAGCCAGTTACAGGGACAAGGGTGCCCAGTTAGCCTGGAGCTCATCTTGTCCACCTGTGAAATGAGAGAGGCAGAATACTGTAGGTCTTCATAGTCCTCTCCTTCCTGCTCCGGGCTCCTCTCACCCTTACCGTGACTCCTCCCCCGTCAGTGTTTTTACAGAAGGAGAAAGCAACTCTTGGATCCTGACTCCAGTCTCCAGTGTGCTGGCCCTGGTTCTGCTTGCGACTCTGGTCCTCTTGAAAAGGAGACTCTGGAGGACCTGTGAGTTGAGCTTACGTAGCCCCCAAACTAGGGAGACGAACGGACTTTTCCACCTGGTACCCTCAGGGCTGGGTTAGGTTAGACCGAGTGTCCAGACATTTGGATGTAGACAAGGTAGATTCTACTCGGAACCATTGGATTCTGCTTGGTCGTGGCTTCATCAAATCCCTTCTCCTCCGCTTGTGCCTCAGCGTCATTCCTCGCCTTAAGGAGACATGTGGAGGATGACAAGAACTATTATTAGCTGTAGGTGTGGAGCCACGCTGGCAAACTTTCTGCACAGCCTGCGCTAATTACTCTCCTCGTACCATCCCAGAGATGCAGGCTGCTAATGCGAGTGCTCCACAGTGCACAGCTTGGTCAAAAGAGATTGAGGCTTTCTGGGGGGCAGTAAGAGAGGCGGAGGCTCCCAGGGCCAGAAATCAAATCATCTGGACCCATCATTATTGTTCTAATGGGCCCAGCTACCAGACTTCCGTCTTGGGAAATTCTCAGAACCGTGCCTCTCACTCTTAGGAAGGCAAATCTGTCTGTGTGCCCCAGGACACCCACAGCCTTCTCTTGTGTCTCTACAGCTCAGAAGACCGAAAGGTCACCAAGGATCACTCTGATTCAGATGACACATTTCCTACCAGACAAGCTCTCCAATGTGGGAAAGAGCTTGCAACAGGGTGACCATCCTCCTGCCCAAGCCAACCTGACTGCCCTAGAGAAGGACTCAGGACCCTGAGGACGGAAAGAGAAACAGCTCAGTCACCACAGAAGAAAAACCAAAACCAGCTATCTCCACAGCTTCTTCACTCCTTTCTCACCATCAGCCACACAAACACTAGCTAACTAAGCTCAGCCTCCACCGAGGATGCCAGCTCGGGCCTCAGAGGGTCAGGCACTCTCGGCAGCCAAAGGTGACAGACAGTGCATTGACTCAAAGAAGGCTTCAAGAAAGGGCTTTGTGGTCTGGCTGGTTTTCAACAGCCCATTTTCTTTTTCGAGAGAGGGAGGGAGGCAGGGGTGGAGGGATGCATGTATACAGAATCTCTTCATTCCCGGCAGTGTGGAAAAGGAGATTCTCCATTCTGTTGCTGCCGCCCCTCTGGGTGCCCTTCTTTCCCTATGCCTGTTAGCACGAAGCCTGCTGTCCACACTTAGCAGTATTCTCATATGCCAGGCTTCCCTGAGCAAGCATAGCCGTAGCTCCTTAAGGACAGTAATTTTGTCTTATCCATTTCAGTACATCTCCAGAGAGCTTGCAACTCGGTGGGACAGCCAGTTAAAGGCCCATGCCTGTTTGGCCGGGGATGCCATGGGTTTGGTGGGCCCTGGGGATCTACTTGGGTAAGAGGTATGAATCCCCCAACAGCCTCAATCACTTTTGGTTGGGAGTGATTTGGATGACCACGTCAGTGGGTGGTTTCTACGTGAGACGGGAGGAAAGGACACCCGTCTGTCTCACCGTATCTCCCCGTTTTGACACTGTCCGTGTCACACTGTCGATCTTTGGTCAGGTCAAGATTTTCCGGGATTTTCCTAAACAATGGGAGAAGAGGGTACTTTTCATTAGGTTTTCACCTTCATTCTCAATCCCCTCTTGTTGCACTGTTTATGAATCTTTGCTATCAAAGGCTATGGGCAAAGCTGGAAATGATTTGGGAAAGAAGACAGAGGGACAGAGGAGAGGAATTTTATGTGGATTCTGCCTTCTAACCTTATCTGTCGGGGGAACTTTCGGCCCACTGTTGACCCCACCTTCTTTTCAGGAATCATATCTGCTCTCTTTCTTTGCTGGGCGTGTTAGCAGGGGTCTGTATTTGAGCAGTACAGGTATTGAGCAACAGAAGCTTTGGGGAAAGAAAGTGCCAACGCCAATTTAAAAGCTGTGACGTTGACATTTCCAGAAGTTTCGACCTTGCTTTCTAAGCTGTCAGTGACATCAAAGTCGTCCAGAAATACCTCTTCATGTCTGGTCATGACCCCAGATACTGAACCAAGGAAGTCCAAAGAGATATCCTCAGGGCTTCTGAGAGGCTTGTCTTAGGTAAGGGGGCAGGTTGAATGCAGCTAGCCAATCAGAAACCCAGAACTTCAGAGTTACAGAGACATAATCTAGAACAGCAGTTCTCAACCTGTGAGTCATGACCCTTTCATAGGAGAATACTGTTGATATATACCCTGCAGATATTAGATATCTCCTTTATGATTCATAACAGTAGCAAAATCATGGTTATGAAGCAGCAGCGACAATAACTTTATAGTTGGGGTCACCACAACATGATTAGCTGTATTCCAGGATCACAGACATCAGGAAGGTTGAGAACCACTCACTGATCTAGAGGGAATCTGAGGCCCAGTGAAAGAAGTCCCTTGTTCGAAGTCACCAAGTCACCAGATAAATAAGATAGTAAAATCAGAACAAAGATTAGAGACTGCGTGGCCCTGGCCTGGCGTCTTTGCCTTTCATTCACCTCTTTCGTGTTAACTAAGAACTTGTCAAAAACCAATGCAACCATCGCTCCAGACTATTTTCTGCCTGCTGTCCCACAGCCTGTCTGAGAAACCAGTAGGAGAGGCAGAAAAGTCACCACTGTCCCACCCCAAATGAGCAAGCAGTTCTTCACAGGTACACAGCTGAGTCAAGAACACTTAGTTTATTGATGGCTGAGATGCATCAAAAACGCAGGCTGTCTGGTCTGTCTAACCTGTCAGTCTTTGCCAGGAACATCCATAGGCCATCCGCTTCTTGGGATGTTAAGAGGCAGTCAGAGGAAATTAAGTCGTAGCTCAAAGAAGTTTGGGAAATACTAAGCTAATCAACAAATTCTTATATGCAGAATTTCTCAGAGCCTTAACTATCCAACAGAACATGGTGAATTACTGAGAGTGGGTATGCCACGTGCCTGGACTATTGCGTTTGGCCAAGCAATCTCACTGAACTGGGTCTCCTTAGATCATTCATTATGGAAGCCAATACGTTAGACCAAGACATGGCCAACTTCTCCTCTAAAGGCCTCATAGCAAACACCTTAGATTTGGCAATGAGGCACCCACTCAGCTCCACCTCTGCAGCCACAAAGGGTACACAGACCACTGGCTAGCCTTTGTTCCAGCAAAACTCTCACAGAAACGGGAAGCTGCATTTGGCTTTTAACCATGTCAAATAATTCTCAGTACCTGCTTTAAGTTGTCGACTACACAAGACTGTTAGATACATACGTATCTGACCTGATCAGATCTGTCTCCTCAGGAGTTTCCTGCCACCCCTTGCTAGGCCTTCTCCTTTCTCTGAACTGCTCTGATACTCTTTGTCCTGAACCAGGTAGCTATGGTATCCTAAACATCTTAGTAGAAGACAGAGAATGAGGGTCAAGGAGTCCCCCCCCCCCCCCCCCCCGCAGTCAAGTGCTGGGGCCAGGGAAGCTTCCAGGAGTACTGGTGTTCTAGAGGAACCTGATATCCACCAGGAGGAGTTGCCAAGAGTCAGACTGGGCCCTAGTGTTTGGAGAGAGTAGGGAGAAGATCTGGGCAGATGCCTCAGAGAAGGAAGTGGGAGAGCCCAGGGTTTATAGCTCTCCTTTATGGCCCAACGGATTCCACAAATGGGGCAGGCTGTGCTTAAAGGGCCAGAGACAAAACAGAGCGCCCACTAGCGCCATGCCAGCCCCACCAGCGCCATGCCAGCTCCACTAGCACCATGCTCCTGCCGCTGAAGGGAGGGTCGGGGAGCACGTCCTTACTGTGCTAGAATCAGAGGCACCTCCACTCCAGGGTTCAGGGTTCCCGCTGGTTTTTACAAAGCAAAACAGCAGGGCACAGTCCTCAAATGCTCTTTCTCTTTCTACTTATTAATTAATGTAGTTAACTTCTCATTCACATGTTACCACACAGCTCATTCTGTGTGCACTAGATGCAATATTTCTGAAAGCTAATTATGGCCGTTCTCGTTTTATGGATGAGGAAAACTGACATTCAGGGGAAACATCTCATACTTCCAAGGGAAAAGTAAGCTGGGACATGTGTCCTACCAGCAGTCTCTGTCCTTGATCACTACTACTTTGTCCCCCATCTTGATTATATTTATTAATAGCTGTAAATAGAAGACGGTAAAGAAACCACTGAAATGACTGCTTCACGGTTAGGGACAAGGTTTTTATTGTGATGAGAGAGAGAGAACATTCTGAGGCACCTGGAAGACTCCAGAGGCGAGAGAAAGAAGCAGACAGTACATGAGCAGGGCTAGGGAAGCAGGACCAGCAGAGAAGAGAGAGAAAGAATAGTGACTATAGCACACTTCGGGGCAGGGAGGGGAAACCCTTGCCCTTATATACAGGACAAACCGGTATGGGGAGGAGGGAAGTTTGTGAACACACAGCCTTGGGCTAGCATAGTGGAGGAGGAGTGGGGGAAGTGAGAAAGGACAGGAGGCTAGCACAGACTTTGAAATGTACAACATTTTCATGAAGAGACTAAAGCCCAAGTCAGCATGGGCTTTCGGATACACCATAGGCATGTGTCAGTAGGAAGCCAGATGCCTCAGCTACCAGTGGGAAGGGAGTAGGGATGTATCTCTTTCTGGTTGACAGAAACCCTCTCAGGGGTTCCTGAGGAATGCTGGCAGTATCCTTCAGCTGCGCCAAGATCGTCATTTCTGGACACCTTCACTGCCTTTTGGGGTTTGGGGAATTGGGGTTTCCTTTACCTGCAATAACCTTGTCTTCTGGCCAGGCCTTTCCCTACTTAGAGTTTCGGGGGGTGCTTGTTTCTCTCCTTGAGACTCTTGTGTGGCAAGTTACATGATCACTTCCAGTCACTGGTTCTCTTTAATCACTAACTGGTTTATTTTTGTCTAAACTTAGTGGGATGTGGGGTGGGGGAGTTCACCAAGCCAGACTGAGAGCTGAAACTTCAGCCCTGGGGTACGTGCTGGCATCTAGACAAATGGAGCTCAGATGTCAAAGTGTAAGCGCGCAAGGTGTAAGTGTGTAAGAGTGTCCATGTATCCCAGGTCACCAGGTTTAAACGCTTCTCACTGCACTCTACTGAGAGACTAGGAGTAAAACAGACTCTCTGACAAGCAGGCAGAAAGAGAGAGAGGCCATGACTGGGTAATAAAGGTGGCAGATCTCCAAGCTTCGTCCTCACACTCCTGACTTGAGACTAAAGCCCGGTGACTTCAAACAAAGGCTTTGTGAGCTTTTGTCTCCCACCAGCAGACCACTTGCTGGCAGTCTGGCCTACTCGGGATGTGTCACAATAGTTCTGGGCCAATCAACAGTCCTTGCTTTTGTCAAACCAACCAACCCTAAATTAAGGGAGGAAAAATCTTGACAGGGTTTTAAACCCCAGTCCCTCAGAAGAGATTGGAGCTGTCAGCTTTCCCAGATCCCCTTTGGCTTCGCTGAGGGTCCTTTTCTGGGTGTCTGCTGCACGCGTGTGTTTCCTCACCTCCAATAAATGCCTTTTGTCAACTGTCAGTTTTTGTCTATGGTGCTCAAGGTTTCTCTGCGGCTGCCTGTTTGCGTTCCAGGTTTTTCCTGCTTTTTAGTTCCTTGACTGACAGAGAAAACCAACCTGATCAGGACCCTTAGATGGTATGATTGCAAGACTCCTAGACTGGACCACTGCTCAATGGCAGAGTTTGTTTCTTTGCCTCAGATAGGAGGTTCTGAGAAATACTGAATCCATTTAGTGGCTGCTGGCAGCTTGACAGACATGCTTTGGACACTCGGCACTGGCAGTGGACTCTGTAATGCCTGTGTGTGGCACCCAGGATCACCATTCTCTCCACTCTTCGTAAGTGCCACCGCTTGACTTCGGGCACTGGCCTCCTGCTCCCCTCACTGTCAACAGGAAAGTAAGCCCAGCTCAACTGCCCACTTGGAGGGGAGCCTTCTGCTGAAACCTAGCAGAGAGGTGGAAGCCACAAGAGGACCCCCACACACACCCCAGAGGAGCTTGAGAATTGTAATTCTGAAGCCAACACATACTTGTCAGTTAGGGTCACTTCTTTCTCTGAGCTGCAAGTTCCTGCCACCCAACTCAGAGTATTTTAGATAGGAAGGGAGAGTCAGGAGACTAGGCCCTGAGGTATTGAACACTGGCCCAGACACTCTGGGGAAGATGTGGCAATTCACTTTGGTAAGAGTTCGGACAAAGGTGGATGGACATAATCCCAGGATATGGGGAGGCAAATGCTGGAGAGATGGAGCAAGTTCAAAGTCAGTTTGTGTCATAGAGAAAACTCTGGGCTACACAGTAACACCCTGCCTCAAAAGACATAAAAACAACAAAACAAAACAGCAGACAAAGGATGGAAAATTTGCTTCTTTAGAGGGTGGCACAAGAAAGGTAGATTAGTTAGAACTTGCAACCAGCTCCCAAGTCTACCACAACAGAGTAGCGTAGACAACTGAAAATACTCAACACCAGAAAACTCTCCTTTTCTAGCTGGGAGCCCTGCAACTATGATGGACACAGGCTGTAGGGTATTACAGAGGCTGCAGGGTATTACAGAGACTGCAGGGTATTACAGAGGCTGCAGGGTATTACAGAGGCTGCAGGGTATTACAGAGGCTGCAGGGTATTACAGAGGCTGCAGGGTATTACAGAGACTGCAGGATATCACCCAGGCTGCAGGGTACTACAGAGACTGCAGACTATTACAGAGGCTAATTTTCCAGCCTCTGCCTACCTGGCACACCTTGGGCTACAGGTACGTCCCAGACCAGGAACAAGGAAACAGCGAATCTTCAGGGGGACCCCAGTTGCTTATGAGAGGGGCTGGGCCCTGTCACCTGGCACTCAGCTGTTGACTTTGGATGTCTACTCAAAACTTCTTCCTCCTTCTCCCTAGCCAAGTGTAGAGGTGAGGGGGAAGGAGAGTGGTTTTGTAACCTCAGAAAAGACTTGTTCGTCTCTCCCTGACAACTGAAATAATAGATTCAAAACCTCTTAGAGGCTGGGAGATCCCTAAAGAGGAACTGAGATATTGAGATCTTGCTGGGTCACAGCCAACTTTCCTTTTTTTTTCTTTCTTTTTTCTTTTTCTTTCATTTTTTTTTATTTTTTTTATTTGAGACAAGGTTTCTCTGTGTAGCTCTGGCTGTCCTGGAACTCACCCCATAGACAAGGCTGGCCTTGAACTCACAGAGATTCACCTGCCTCTGACTCCGGAGTGCTGGGGTTAAAGGTGGGTGCCAGCTCTGCCCAGCTCTTGCATTCAACTTTGCTTTAGTCTGTCTTCCCCTCAACAGCCTGCCCCAGGGGCTCTGCCATAGTCTCTTCATTTATTACTCCCTCAGTCAAGCCGATAAAGGGTTCCACAATGCTGCCATCCTAGGGGCCCCAGAAGTTATGTTCGCTCTCTGATTGGCTGTCAGAAGTCAACAACGCTGGGTAAACAGTGAAGGACCGTATGTCAGGTAACGAACAACACAGCAGGCAGGTGGTCATGGAAGAGGTAACTCCAGGTGTTCATCTGGGCAGAAGGGGAATGCTGAGGCTGGAATGTAGCTTTGGCCCATAAGTGACTCTTCCAAGAGCCACAAATCTGCCAGCATCGCTCTTCCTTCCTCAACTCTCCTACCCTTGCTTCTTCACTTGCCAGCCTCATTTTCCTCCTTGGCGTGATGCTGCCAGAAGGCAGACTGCAAGCCTTGAGACCTTCAGGCACGTCCTCACAGAGCCGCTAAAGAGTTACCTGTCGGGTCTAGACGAAACTGGGGACAGATGGTTAACTGTGGTACCTATTAGGATATCAACGCACCTGCTGGCCTTCGGACTCTCTCAGCACTGAAAATATCTGTTACAGGATCCAGGCTCTCATCCCGGCTCCTCTCAGCCCTTCTCAGCCTGACCCTTACCCTATACCTCTCCAGCTCATGGGCTTCCCTCCTCCAACTTCTCATTCCTATAAAACCCTGCCATTTTGTCCATGTGCTCTCTTGGCTCTCAGTCTTCTCTCTCTTGGCCCTCTTTGTGGTCTCTCTCTCTCTCCTCTTCTAGCCTCTCTTATTTGTCTCCCCCTCATGGCTCCAGTTCAGTCTACTGGGCCTGTTCAGTCCAGTATTTCTCTCTGCTCTGGATTCCTCCAGATGCCTCTGACTGTGCTCTCCCTCATATCTAAAATAAATAATATTAATAATAAATACTTTCTCCTCAACCAAACCTGGAGCGCTCATGTCCTCAGTTCATATATCACCCAATATTCAGGAAAATAGGGGATGCTTATAATCAATCTTGCTTCTCTTTGCTTGCCCTTTAAAGGGAAGCTTTGCCTGTGGAGAGAAAAAAAAATAGGCCTCAATCTAGGCTCAACAAGTTTTAGCAAACTTGCCCAGTACTAGCCAAGTGGACTTTTTCACTTCCAACTCCCTTTGTGTGATTCAATACAAGGAGCACACTTAGTTTATTGCTAGCTAGCAGCTCTCTGGGTGCCAGTTGGGCAAACAGAGGCAACTGTCCCATTCCCGCTCTTTCCCACCAGCCCCAGGCAGAACTGGAACAAGGAGCACTGTGTTCCCACTGAATCAAGCAGCTGAGGTCAGAAAGCTGTATCGCTACCTGCTGACGGGCTGCTGCGGAGGGGATACTTCTAAACAGCTGATGCCCCTTTCAAATGTGAAGAGGATGCAAGTTAGCCTTGCAGAGTCACTGCCTCAATGCTCTGGTTCGGTGATTAATGGTAAACTGACTATACTCTCGACTTGATAGGGAATGCTGGATTATACAACTGGCCGTCCTGGGATTAAACATTGACTCCAGGACAAGGGTTAAACATTGACTTAGCTGAAGACCTACGGTTGGGGGCAGAGCTGGTGGTAAACAGCACTTCATCTGTTCAGTCTTCTGCCATTCACCTTGCAAAGCAACAATCACAGGCGCCATCCCCTGCCAGATGTGAAGGACTGGAAGGTAAACAGATCCCTCAGAGGCAGACAGAAAGAAAGAAGGACCGTAGATAACAAAGACGGCAAACGTCTAGCTTCTCCCTCACACTTCTGTCCTAGAGGGCCTAGTGGGCTTTTTCTACCATCAGCAGGGCCATCTGCCTTTGCATGGCCCCAACAAGTTCAAGGCTAGATTAGGACATCTTTACCCCCCAAGCTGTGGGCCTAGCAGTCTACCTGTCTTTGTTCAAACTGATCAACCCTAAATTAGGGGAGGAAGACCCTAAAACCCCAGAGTTCTCAAACAGGAACTGCCTAGTCCCCTCCCCATTCTGCAGCGTGTCTTTCTCTCTAGGTGTCTCCTCGCCCCTAATGAAAACCTGTCTTCACTAGCTGACTCTGTCTGCTGCATCTGAGACTTTCCCCTGCCTTTTAATTCTTTAACTGGCAGAGAAAAGGGAACCTGAACAAAACTCCAGGCCAGGAACAGATGGGCAGAGTAAAGTGAGGACGGGATGTATACGGTTTGAGGAAATCCTTCTCCAGCACATCCACAATTTTAGAGCATCAAGCTAAGACAAGCCAAGGTTGGATCTGTGAGGGCTTGACCATCTATGATCCGCTGGGTCAACCAAGGGGGCAAGTGGAAAACCCTGCTATCCATGGAAATGTAACACAAAGTGGTCATCCTCGCTGAGAACACTTTGGTGAGTGGCAGGGGTGGGGTGGGGTGGCAGGTGCCCAGTGAAGGAAGATCTTGGTTCTAGGGCCTGTCTCGGCCACCTCCTTTCCCAATACACTTGGGCATCATTTCACATCTGTGCCCACGGATCTTCAGTGTTCAGTGCAGAATTACTTAGTTCTGAGTTCCTATTCTGTCCCACGTTTAATCAAACATGAATGACAAGTATCTGCTACGTTCCAGCTATCACACATGGTAACTTTGTAACACCTTTGCCAATTTAGGACAAGCAGGTCCGAAGACATTACAGTTCTTGCCCAAACCTTCCTGGTCAGCAGATGGAAAGGCCTGGGTATGAATCCAGGACAGTCTGGGTACAGAGCCTGTCCCTTCTCACAGGCTGCACTGTCTCAGCATGCTTGCTTCCTCCCAGCCTGGGCAGGACACTGTTGTGCGTGAGTGATGGTTATACACCCCGAGGAAACAACGGCACACACGTCTGCAGTTCCCAGTTTCCCTGGATCTCTAGCTGATCGCAGTCAGCGTAGATGCTTGAGGTGGACACAGTCTCCAGGCTATATCTACGTCCTAACCCCAGAAGCCTGTAAACATGGCCTTAGTTAGGAAATGGGTCTTTGTAGGCAGATAGGATTAAACTCAGGACGATCAGATGAAGAAATCATGACAGATTGTGGGACTGGCCCTTAAATGCTACCACAAGGGTCCTCATAAGAGCACAGGCACTGGAAGTGTCCACTCAACACATAGTGACCACACAGGCAGAGAGCCTGGGAGGTTCCGCTGCACATCAAAGAATGTCAAGGAATGGCAGCAGAAGCTAGAAATTGAAAGAGGCAAAAATTGAATCCTCCTCTAGAGACTCCATAAGGAGGGTGGCCCTGCTGCCACTTTGGTCCCGGATTTCTGTTCTTCGGACCCGAAGAGGAGCGTATTTCTGTTGCTTAATGGTGCTAAGATTGTGGTCAGCTGTCACAGTCGCCCCAACAAACTCGCACAGCGCTCAACCGACATGCGCAGGCCCCAAACCAGAAGGCCTTGCAAACCTGTTGGGCCTGCTCTTTCATTTCATAGATGAAAAGTCCACAGACCTAAAGAGGAAGTGATTTGGCAAAGGCAGAGGCAGAGCCAAAGCTAGCATACAGGTGTGTCGACTCAGGCCAAGTGGTTCTGATCCTCCCCACACTGGAAGAAATCTAGGTCATATTTTCTTAATATTAGGAGACGGCTGGCTTGAGCACGAGAAGGTTGTTTTAGAGGGCATCGTCACCGTCGTTACTAAGTTGAACACTAGACACATTCTTCAGCCGTGAGCCAGTCCCTCCTCCCTCAGTGCTGGACACCGGGGTCACTCACTGGGTTCTAGAAAGGGAAACGGCAGTGGGGTGGGGGCTAACCACTGTACTCATCCACCGGCGTGTGGCTGAACTCAAAACTGGCCACAAGAATTTAACTTCCTGATTAATCATTGGGTTCTACTTTTACATTTCCTCTTTCCCAAAGCCGGATCCCGAAGCGGGAGAGGTGGGCTTTGGGTCTGTGGGGAATGTATCTAACACGTTTCTCTGTGGATACATGCATTTAATATGGTCTGCTAAAACACTTCCGGGTACCACTGGGAGTGTGTGCTACCAGTACATGATCTAGAGAGCCACCCACCATCTTGGCGTTACTGGAAAAGGCAAAGAGAACAGTCCCCACCTCCAGGCAGCAAACAAAGCAATGGTTTAGTTGATATACTTCCTTCCTGCCTCTCAAATCTCCCTTCATCAAGTGTCTGTGCTAGTATTCAGGGGCCTCTCTCGGCACCTCCTGCATCTCAGACAAGTTATTCCTTGCTTTGAGGGAAGCAAACACATCCTACAAGTATCTTGACTATAGCGTTTAAACAGACAAAGGCAGAGAACAGAAAGCTGTCCAAGGCGCTCTCAGATGGCAGAAACAGGCTTGTGTCACCTCTGTCCCCGTGCATCTCCCTCTCCCAGCACCTCTCCCATTAACCATCCACCCTGGAATGGGGAGGAGGAAATTGCTAACGAGGAAGAAAAAGAAGTTGGTCACTAGTGTGTCTCTGTGACCTCCCGCTGCCACCGTGGCTCCGAGCCTGAGCTCCGGTAGAAGAGAGAAGGCTAACAATGATATCTAGAGAGTTCGGAAATTGCAGAGTTAAGAGACTGCAACACTGCCTGTCCTCTCTAAACTGACAGTGGTCCACAATCTCACCATCACCCCCTGCCCCTCCAAGTACATGAGTTGAAAGGATACATAGGCATTATGGGAACACAGAGACCCCAGGAAGCTACAGCTCAGTCAATCCACTCTGCAGGCACAAGAAGGACAAAGGAAAGCTGAACAGCCTTGCAGTCCCGCCGAAGGAACTGAGAGGTAGCGACAAGAGAGGACAGAATGAACTCCAGAGCCCTTGGAATGAGCAAGGATAAAAAGTCCCACCGACCACGTGGGTCGAGTTCCATCTTGGTTCACAGAATCACTTTTTCGTTTGGAGGAACAAGACCGACATGACCCAGCAGCACACCAGGCCAACCATAAAATCACAGGTGTCCCCTCGCTGCCCCAGGAGTTATGCTGCCATTCAGAGGAGGAAAAGGGACACCAAAAGGAAAGAAACCCGATCCGAAACACCACTGAATTGGACCGAGCCTCCCTGGAAGTGCCTAGGATTTTGTTTTTTCTTTCATCGATCAGATTGTGGATTTACCGTCTCCAGTTGAGTTTCATAATAATAATAATAAATAAAAAACACAGTTTCTTTTCTTGTCATCAAAATCTGCGATTGTGTTGTGGGTTAGCCCACACAAGTGAGCCCACATGCACAGATGGCCCTCCTGTTTCTGTAGCCCTTGTTTCCCCTTCCCCTTCTGGCGTTTGCGTTAGGACTCTTGAGGAAGAGCCAGTAAGCCGGCGAGCCCTGCACAGGTACAGTGCGTAGCCCTTCAAGGGGAGGGGGAGCTGGGGAGGGTATGGGGTGCATCAAACAATGGGTTTCTTTGTGTGGCCCGGGAAGTCTATGGTATCTGGAGGAAATCTAGGAGACCCAAACAGGTCGTGACCTGGGAAGGTTCCGTGGACTGACTAACTGTGGTGAGGAAGGAGGTTGCTGTCTCAACTCAGCTGGTGGGAGTCCTTGTGTAGCCCTAACACAGCTTCGGTCCAGCCCAGCATCAGGGAGCGCAGGCAGAGTTAGGGTGGAAAAGATCCCGAAGGCTCTGGGCTGAGAAGGATCACTCTGCAGATGGTGCTTAAAAGGTGGCATTTCAGGCTCCATGCGCTGGGGTCACGGCAACAGGGCAATCCACAGGGACTGGGGATGTGAGGCCAAACACTAAGGGACATTCTGTCCCATATCTTGAAGCTGCAACAATGGAGGATCTAGAAGTGACACAGTCTCCCCAAGTACAGGGGAGGACAAATGGAGCCAACCAGGGAAGCTCGAATCTGTGGGAGTCACGTGCTCTAACTGGCTACTTTGCCTAATGGGACAGCAGGCCCTTTAAGAGCCAGGTGCGGGTCAAGCACAGAGCACAGTTTCGGTTTTGGCAGCAGTAACCAGTGCCTGACTGGAAGCTTCTAGAAAAGCAGGGGTACACACTGGCTGGCAGGCTGTGCCCCGAAACTGGAGCAGCTGGAGAAGGAAGTGGCTAAAAGTAAGTGTGCTGCCTGGGATCCTTGGCTAGGATGCTCCTTGGGATCATGGTTCAGATGATCCCCCGACTCTCAACTACCAGCCTCACAGAGAGGGTGAGGTGGACAGGGCAGCCTGTGTGCCTGCATGTCACAAGGGATGGCAGGGGCATATTCCAGTGGTGTGAAGAAAGGCAGACATGCGTATGGGCATGCCCTTTCTGCAAAATAGCGTGGGTGAGAAGGAAGCAACGTCTGTTGCCAGCTCACCCATTACCCTTAGTTTCCAAATTCCCTTATCCTCCTACTGCTACTAACTCCCTACCGTTACACAGGACCTAGTCTTTCTGAACCTCAGTCTCACTCTGTAGGATGGGGATTTAAAACTAACAGCTATCGCTGCTGGCCCAAGGGGGATCAAATGAGAAAGTAAGTGCAAAGTGTAGCAATATAACAATGGCTCGGTGCATCTCAATTTAGTTCAATTACTCAAGAACGAATTGAGTGGCAGGCAGGTCTGCAATCAGATTATGCAGTAAAGCATCTCAGCTACCGTTCGAAGCGGGCCGCCCTCAGCTGCTCTTTCTGGGCTTCTGCAAGGTTCTGAAATCATTTCGAATCACAGTCCAGACTTGCCTCCACATATTTGTGTCACTAGAAACAAGTATGCATTATGGTGTCACTCTGCGTTGCTCTAAATGGGGAGAATGATGTTTTGCGGGGTGATAAGCTGGGGGGGGGCAGAGCCACCTTCTAGGTACAGGCATCAGCCCTGTGCCCCGATGCACCCCCTAACACACACCCAGCCACAATCAGACAGCCTCCTCGGTCTGGTCTATCCTGACGCTGTTCCTTAGCCAGCACAGAAGACAGTGACGGAAGGACAGCGACAGCTCAGCTTCATCTTCTGCCAGCTACACCTGTGCAACTGCCTGTAGACTTGGAGCCACCCAGGACAGGACACACACATTGTGTATGACAGCTTCGGCTAACACTTTCCCCTGCTGCTAAGGGACTTAGAGATTTCTTACTATATAAATAGGGGTGTGCCAGTTTGGGGGGTTTGGGTAGAAGGCATCTATTCAGTGGCTGAAAGTAGAGATCCAGAACTTTCCAGTCGTGCTTCTGCCTAAATAGGGAGAATGGACGCCGTGTTATAGCCAATGAGCTGGAGTCAGGAGAACACCCAGCTCTATGACCATAACCCACTTCTTAGCATACTTCTGCCTCTGTGAGGTTCATTCACAAAAAGCCCCATCACTTCAGCTTCCGTTTAGTAAGTCCACCTGCCCTGGGACTTCATAACTTCACCTCATCC